TTATATATATATATATATATATATATACATATATACATATATATATATTTATTATATTATATTATTATATACTATACATATATATAATATATACATAATATATATATTATATATATATTATATATATGTATAGCAGATAATTAAGTTGTTTCATTGACACAAAACAAAGTGGATGTTTAAAATTGCCACCATTTACAGAAAACTGATAAATAAATTAGTATTTTGTATCTTCTTGACCACTCAAAGTACTTTTAAATGACAAGCTGCAGTCATCCCCACATTCACACGGCTCAGTGGTTGGAGCAGTTGTCCTCCAAACGCAGAGTTGGGGGTTCAATTCCACTACTATGCAGTCACATGTTGAAGTGTCCCTGGTTTGTTTGACCTGCTTGTGTCTCAGCATCAGAACCTGTACTCCTGTTACTGAGAGACCATGAAGTGGACCCAGACGAGCCCGGCAGCACAAAGTACAGCAGAAACAGGCAATAAAAATACAACAAATAGCTCACCAGAAACAATGGGACAACAGCTTGGCTGGAGGAGCACATAAACACTGAAAAAGCTACATAAAATCTGGAACGCAACTGCACTGTGAACTAAAACAAGAAGCACAACAGGAACAGAGAATGTAAATATCTTCCCTCGTGTGAATGCACCGTTAGCAATAAACTCCTATGTTGCAGTGAACTGCAATGTTATTATTTCCAGAGAAGATGCACAAAACATACAGAGATGAAATAACATTTGTCTACACTGACCAGGAACATGTGTACATATCTTCCGTGACAGCTACATTAAGGTGTGTTTTAAAGCAGCTAACATCTACAAAGACGAGCTGAATTATGGGTTGAAGCTCCAGAGCAGAAGAGGAGAAGACAGTTCATGCTCCATCATTGGAATATGCTCCAATAAACAACATTCCATGAACATTTGATGAAACTTTTAATGTTTAATCCTTGTATCGGGATAAATTCCAGGTTCATAGTCTTGGTCAAGGAGTAGTTTATATGGTCCAGTTGTAATTTCTGCGGTCCACGTGAAGCTTCTATAGTCTGCATGTAATTTCTACAGTCCGGGTTTAGTTTCTATGGAAGGAAAGTCAAAGAACACACAGAATAATGTCAGCAATAATTTAATGTACAAATCTTTAAAGTGAGTAAAGACAGCAGCAGAGTGAGGGCATGTGGTCAGTTTGTCCTTCAGAAGTATAAGTCTACAGTAGCAGAACTAAGGGATAGCTCATGAAACTCAGACCAACTATAACTATATGACTGATCAAAAAAGAACATTTTCAGTGTAGTCTTAAAAGTACACAAAGTGTCAGCCTCACTGGCAGAAACTAAAAGTTGGTTCTACAAGAGACGAGCCTGAAAACTCTGCCTCCCATTCTACTATTAGAAACTCTAGGAACCACAAGTAAACCTGTAGTCTGGGAACAAAGTCCTCAGTTAGGAAAATATAGAACAATAGTATCTGTAATGTAAGATGGAGCTACAGTGGTGCTTGAAAGTTTGTTAACCCTTTAGAATTTTCCAAATGACTGCATAATATGACCTAAAATATCAGATATTCACACAAGTCCTAAAAGTAGATAAAGAGAACCCAGATAAACAAATGAGACAAATATTATACTGTAGTTGGTCATTTATTTATTGGAAAAAAGATCCAATATTACATATTAGCGAGTGGCAAAAGCATGAGAACCTCATTGATTAGCAGTTGATTCAGCCGATTCAACTTGTCTGCTGGATTCCTTAGACAGAGAACTTTACTAATTGGCTTTTCTATGTATGTGAATGTTTCTATAAAGTGCCCTGAGACAACTTTGTTGTGAATTGGCACTATATAAATAAACTGAATTGAATTTAATTATTTTGAAGTTGAATTTAGAGTCAGGTGTTTTCATTCAATGGGATGATGATCAGGTGTGAGTGGGCACTCTGTTTGATTTCAAGAACATGGATGCCCTCGCAACACGTTTGTGGAAGTGTATAATGGCACTAACAAAGGAGATTTCCGAGGACCTCAGAAGAAGAGTTGTTGATGCTCATCAGGCTGGAAAAGGTTATAAAAACATCTCTAAAGAGTTTGGACTTCAGCAATCCATGGTCAGACAGCAGACTGTGTTCAAATGGAAGAAATTCAAGACCACTGTTACCCTCCACAGGAATGGGCAACCAACAAAGATCACTCCAAGAGCAAGGCGAATAGCCAGCAAGGTCACAAAAGACCCCAGGGTAACTTCTAAGCAATTGAAGGTCTCTCTCACGTTGGCTGGTGTTAATGTTCATGAGTCCACCATCAGGAGAACTCTGAACAACAATGGTGAACATGGCAGGGTTGCAGGGAGAAAGCCACTGTTCTCCAAAAAGAACATATGCAGTTTGCTAAAGATCATGTGGACAAACCAGAAGACTATTGGAAGAATGTTTTATGGACAGATAAGACTAAAATAAAACATTTAGTTTTAAATGAAAAGCATTATGTTTGGAGAAAGGAAAACATTGCATTCCCGCATAAGAACCTTATCCTATCTGTGAAACACTGTGGTGGTAGTATACTTTTTGTCCTTCCATTTGATCTCTTGGACATATAAAACATTTACCTTCCTTTGCTGCATCATGTCACATTACATTACAGGTACATCTAAAAAGTTATTATATAGTGAAAAAGTTCAGTATTTTGGTCCATCACTTCAAAAAGTGAAACTCAAATATTATTAGTTTCACTGCACGTGGAGTGAAATATTTCAAGCTTTTATGTCTTGTAAGTTTGTTGATTATGGCTTTCATATAATGAAAACACAGAGTCTCAGAAAATTACATTTTGACAACGTTCCATAGTGGAAACATGCACACTATTCAAGGATTCAAGGTTCTTTATTTGTCATACACACTTTGCACAGATGAGTCCTAGAAATGGGTTTCAAATGTCTCACTCCTCAAGTCAAGCTACTCCTGAACCACAGAAATCAGAAGCATCTTACCTGGGCTGAGAAGAAAAAGAGCTGGAATCTTGCTCAGTGTTCAAATGTCCTCTTTTTAGATGAAAGTAAAAGTTTTATGTCATTTGGAAATCAAGGTCCCAGAGTGTGGAGGAAGAGTGGAGAGGCCCAGAATCCACATTACTTTAAGTCCAGTGTGAAGTTTCCACAGTCCGTGAAGATTTGGGATGACATGTCCTCTGCTGGTGTTGATCCACTGTGTTTTCTCAAGTCCACAGCCCAGATAAAACACTTCTGATGTTGTCTCTGGTTCAGGAATGCATTGACTTAAGGAATTCCACATTTGCAGGCACATCTAGAAATTGTCTGTGTATAATGTGAACAATTTCAAAATGAAACTTTTTCACAATATTCTAATTTTCTGAGACAATGAGTTCTGTTTTTTCATTATTTGTAAGCCATAATAATCAAAATTACAAAAAATAAAAAAAGGCTTGAAATATTTCACTCTGTGTGTAATGAATCAGTAACAAGTTTAACTTTCTTAAATGATTAACAAAAAAAATTGAATGTTTTCATGATATTCTAATTTTTTGAGATGCACCTGTATTTCACATGACAAAAGTTAAGTATTAGAGAAGTTTTGTCATATATGATGTGCATATTTACACAATCATAATTTATTCTGTATGAGCAAAATAAGGCAACAACTTAACATATATGTCGTTCCTAAAATTAAAGTATAAGAACTTACTAATAACTTTAGCTCTTTCAGAGTTTTGGTGCTTGTTCTGGCTAAATGATGAGATACAGTGACATGAAAAACCCTGAGATGTTGTTGAGGAAACAGCAAATGGACCTGACAGGAAACCAGACTTGGCGGTACAGATGGAGCAGAAGAAGGAAGTGTGACTTCACACAAGAGGGGAGAAGATGGAGACGTTGGAAATGGAAAAGGGGTGAGAAGGAGGCGTCGTAACTTGGTGACATGCAACAGACAGATGCACTCAGGAGAGTGCATGTTCAATGCATGTTGAATGAAAGCCGGACGAGCCACAGAACCAGCTGTCAACTCAAGCTCAGCTGCACCTCTTTCTCCTCCAAAGCCACACACATCTTTAAATGAGCTGCCAGTTCATTTCTTCCTAGCTCTTTTGAAAGTTGTTAGCTTGTTGACAAAGAGTGTCTTCTCTGTTTGCAGCCAGAAACTTTGTCTCCAGCTGAGGTGGTGAAATGTTTGACTCCGCAGGTACACTTCAGTGACAGAATTCTTTCATTCATTCAACTTTTATTTATACAGGTTAGTCTCATTGAGCCATGAGGACACACTTACAAGAGAGACCTGTTTCCATTCATGTTATGTGTAGACCTATAGATGAATCACTACATTTAAACTGGTTTATTGCCTCACTCACTGCTCTTCTAATAAGAACTGTAACTGTAATGGGGGATGGGGGTGGACATTAAACTCAAGGGTGCATGTCCAAATGCATCATTTTACCATCTCAAGTGGCAGCACAGGGGTCCAAATATCTTGGTGACAAACTTTCTATTCAGCTCTCCTTCCTTGTGTGAAACATAATTTATCAAATTAAGCATGAACCAGCTGGTGAATTATGCCCCAATTAGACTGTAAATCACAGATGACTCAGCAGCATGACAGTGACTGCACAGCTCTGGTAAAGTCGTCCTCCAATCAGCCTACGAGTGAACGAGTATCTTTTCTACGCCACAGCCGGCCTCCATTTAAACCTGAAACACACGCCTCCATCTGCAGAGCCCCGCTGCATGAAATAACACCCCTGAGCCCAGGTATCCATATTCCCAAGTCTCTGCTTTACTCTGCTTGGCTGAGTTTTATTAATGCAACGCTTCCGCATTATCCATCATTCCACCCCGCGGAAGTCCTGACAGCTAATTAGATGCCACATTTGCTAGAACTATATTAAGCATTAAACACAGGAGGAGAAAGTCACTACCGCTGCAGCGTCAACCTCTGGAAGAAGCAAAACAGACACTTACACAAGGAGAAAGTGAGATACAACACAGCTAAATGCTTTAAACTCCTGAATCTAAAAGGGGAGGAACATCCGACAAGAACCATGCATCACTGTTCCTGACTGGGTCCAGACTGGAGGAGGTCAGGACGCTGATGAATGGCTCCTTGTTCCCACAGCCCCAGCTTCAGGTCAGTAAACGTATTAGTGCATTAAACATATAGTGTCAAAACATTTACAGCAGCACTACAACACAGTATCTAATAATAAAATACCAGTTTGATCACATTACAGCCTACCTGTGTCCAAACATGCAGGTTATTAATGCTTTCCTGAGAGGTTTGCTGTTGGTCTACTTTATAAAACATTGTAGCAGCATGGTTTAGTTTCACTGAAAGAAGACTGTGAATGGTGCCAACCAAAAGTTTTCTACATGTATGGAGTTTTAATGGTGAATTTGGATTCAAGCTCAATCTGTACCTTACTTGTTAGTTCAAGATCACATGGGGCAGATGCAGAGAAATGCACAATTCAAGAATGCTGACTCCTTCAGGTAAACAGACGTTATGTGTGGTTTGACTCGAACAGCACACTCAGCAGATGTTAGACTTTCTTCAGAAAAATAGACAATAGTACTAAATGTAATGAGTCAGAATTATTCAAACTAGACTTTAAATAAGTTTTTGCAACAATAAAATAATGCAATGCAGTATTATAAAACTGCAACACATTCAGTGTGACACAGGAGACAATGAAGATTTTAAAAGCTTGAGCTGTCTCATTGTGGCATATTGCTCCTTCATGATAGCCGAACATTTCAGGCTATAAAAACACACCTTAAACCTTCAGCTCTAACTGGATCTAAAACTCAAAACAAGCAAGTGGAACTCTGATGTCCCCCCATCACTGAAAGATTTAAAGTGTTTATAGTTTTGCAGAGGAGTGCTTTTTTTTTTTTTTTTTCTGGACTGGAACTGAACAGCGAATGCAAGAAAACCTTAATGTTTTTAATGGAAGATATTTAATTCAATTCAATTCAGTTTATTTATATAGCACCAAGTCACAACAGAAGTCATCTCAGGTCACTGAACAGAAACGTTCATATATAAAAAATAATATTTTAACAGTTTTTTATCTGAGGAGCAGACTGCTTTGAGTTTAACTCCATCACAGAACTCAAATCATGAGCAAGCATGAAGGTGACAGTGGAAAGGAAAAACTCCCTCATGAGGAAACAACCTTTAGCAGAACCATTCTGAGGACAAGTTGCCATCTGCTTCAACCGGCTGGGTTTGAGAGGAACTTGAAGGAGGAACAGATACACAATGGCAGGTCAAGAATCACATGTTAAGATAGAAATAGTATCAAATGAAAACTATTCAATTTTAACAATTCATTTAAGGAAATGTGGTCAATTTGTCTTCTAGTAGTCTAAAACTATGGCAGCATAACAAGCCAACCCTAACCTTCTGTGCTCACACGAAATATTATGGAAACATATGACCTTAAAACTGTAAAGTCATTTTTCTTGGCTCCTGGTTGGAGAGGTGTGTGAAAAGCCCTCCTGGCAGTGAGACCATGATTGATCTTTTCAGAAAGCCGTGAAGAGCAGCTGAACGTTAAACAGGAATATGATGAAGACGATGATGTAACAGCAGCACGGTGGCGCAACTGGTAGAGCTACTGCCTCTCAGCGCGCAGGTCCCTGGTTCAAATCCCGGTCCGGGGGCCTTTCTGGGTGGAGTTTGTATGTTCTCTCTGTGCATGCGTGGGTTTTCTCCAGGTACTCTGGTTTCCTCCCACAGTCCAAAAACATGCATGTTAGGCTGATTGATAACTCTAATTTGTTTCTAGGTGTGAGTGAGAGAGTGAATGTTTGTTTGTCTTGTTTGTCTCTATGTGTCCCTGTGATGGACTGGAGACCTGTCCAGGGTGTACCCCCATCACACAATGATTGCCGGACATGGGCACCAGCAACCCCCGTGACCCAAAATGGAAGAAGCGGGTAAAAGGTAATGGATGGCTGGATGGATGGATGATGATGATGATGATGATGATGATGTAAGATTCAGGAGAAATAAACAATATAATCATAAAATCACACACTTAAAGTAGAGACAGCAGGAAGATCCATGATTTAAAGTTCAATCAATCAATCAAACTTTATTTATAGAGCCCTTTCCAGCAGCCAAAAGGTGCACAATGTGCTGCACAATACAGAAGTTAAAAACAAACAAGAATAAAAAATCAGTCAGTTAAAAACAAAAACAATTACAATTAAAACATGGCAAAATTGTCAAAGACCTACTAGGTATTAAAAGCCTGCCTGAATAAAAGGTTTTAAGATTAGATTTAAAATGCTCCATGTCAGTGATGGAGTGCAGGTCCTGAGGTTGCTGGTTCCAGAGTCTGGGTGCGACAACCGAAAAGGCCCGGTCACCCCATCGTTTGTAGTTGGACTTTGGGCCAGAGAGTAGAAATGTATTAGATGATCTCATTGTTCTCCTATATTCACAGACAGCTACAAGATTAGTCATATATAGTGGGGCAAGACCATTGAGAGCTTTAAAAGTGAATAATAAAATTTTTAATTTAATTCTAAAATCGACTGGAAGCCAGTGGAGAGAAAATAAAACAGGGGTGATGTGCTCACGTCTGACCTCTGGGCTTTCACTTTGGTCATAAAAACTGACAGTCATTTGTTGCAGAATCCAGAAGTGGTTAGATGTGATGTTTCTTGTAGAGGAACAGATCCTGGAGGACAGATGTCCTCACTCTAAATAGAGATGTAAATAGAGACGTATAAATAAAGACGTTCTCCAGACTCAGAGACGCGTCTCACCCTGATCTGTTTGTCGAGCTGCAGAGAAAGAGTCTTCAGCTGTTTGCCAGATCAATACAGACGCTCGACTCAAACTTAATTATAAGTTCATCCCTTAAAGGATCCAGGGATTGTAATCTCCATTAAAGTGGTTGAAACATTTAAATGCGATGTGAGTTTGTTTTGGTCTTTGGCACCTGCATACTCAGCCAACTATATATCAACTGAGCAGAACATATACAGCATTCCCTCCTCACTTAATATTTTACGCCAGGTTTTTCTCCTTTGTCTTCAGATTGTTTCATATCTCTGTGAGGTTGAGCACGTTTCAACCACAGATGAAAGAAACACATCAGAATTGTTCTCAAGGACACCTTTTCACGGGAAGGAGACGTTCATTAAAGCTGGACGGCTGAAGGTCGTCTAAGAGAGCTGTGAAGTAATTTGACAATGACCTCCGTTTAGTCCAGTTTGGCACAAGGCAGTGATGCGTGTCTCTAAAGAACAAGTACTCCACCACACGGGGCTGGATTAGCATGCAGCTTTATTCGACACAATACTCTGAACGTGGAGCGTGCTGCTGATGTACGGAGACTTAGGCTCATCTTCTTTATTCTGCAAGAGGTGAAAACATGAGCTCGTCCGTCCCTCAGGTTGTGATTATGGACTCATGTCCGCCTGCACAAACAGCACAGGTGCCATGGCCACTGATTCAGCTGTGTGAGAAGCAGCTCTTTGTGTAGACACAAATAATTGGTATAAAAATAAAAATAAAAGAAGAAGAAGCTGTACACCGATGCCCCCCATCTCTGAGGGATTTAAATAGTGAGTTCTTGTAGTTTTGGAGATGAGTGTTTTTCTGGACTGGAACTGAACAGTGAATGAAAGTAAACCTTATCGTTTTTGGTGCAAGATATTCAAGTGGGTAGGAGTTACACTGTGGTGAAGAACAGAGGGAGGTGCCTTTTTTATTGTCGGAGACAGTACTGAGTGATGGATCCTGCTGAGTGGAGAGAGCAACTTTATCACCAGGTGTAATGGAGGAGCCAGGGGGTGCCCAGTGGTGGTCTAGGCCCTATAGATTAGTCTTCGACCACCCCATTCATTATACTTGTAAGCAATATAAAAACTAGAAAGCATAGTTTCCTCAAATGATAGGAGTGGTCATCAGCATAGAGATGCAAGGATGTGTCAGGAATGGTTAGACCTACATTATTAATATAAACTGTAAAAAGAATTGTACCTAAAACTGAGCCTTGTGGCACACCATTGGTGACCATTAGGTAGCTAGATGAAGTACCGTTATGTCTCACCCCCCCACACACACACACTATATATATATATATATATATATATGTATAATATATATATATATATATATATATATATATATATA